TGGATGCATCCATTCAACCTTAAATATGTAACAAAGGTCTTGCACTATCTTTTTCCCCCTAAATAAACAGCCTGTCTTTGGAAGTAATATTTGATAGTACGATAAGAACTCCTTCGAGTGTAGCTAAGAGTACTTTTTGATCAGTTACTTTGAGCGAGATCAACCTACACGTACTCTCAACGCGTTACCTAGGATCTAGTCTTTTTCGGTGGCCTTCATAAAGTTCCTTAAGAGAAAACCTTATGCTATGCAAGTGTTGAGCTCTCTACATTTAATACAGGAAGGCTAGGAACAAAATTATTCGATCACGTAAAGAAGGGGTATCGCGTTATGCCATTTTGTTTAGAATGCAGTAGATGTGCTGTTTGATTCTGACTTAGTCCGCCTAACCTTTAGATCGATGACCTTGTTCAGGTTGGAATCTGTTTAATGTCTCAATGCCCTTTCTGGCTTTCGTACGTGTTTCTATTAAGCATAAAATGTGTGATGAATAGGGGCACTGAAAAAAAATAGAACAGCAGAAGAGTCTCTACTTTGATGCATTGCGCAACTATGTTGAGCTTGGCAGGAATCAAAAGCTTTTGCATGTTGGATTGTTACATAAACTGACAACACATCACGCTCAAGACGTGATCAAGAGAATTAGAAAGCATCAATCGATTTATCGTAAATTGCATACATTCTCGAGCAAGAGCATTTCCATGTTTATGTTTGGTTTTGCTTCAACGAGCTGTGACAGCACGATTAACTCGAAAGGGTCTCATTTTAGAGAAAATAAATATCTCTCCAGTTTAGCCGATAGAAACGGAATCTGTATAATCTTTTTATGTTAGTGGATTGCGTTCGAAATGTTCCATGTCCAACATATGGTCCATTCTTGAAAAATGAGCGTTCAATAATAAGACTGTACAGAAAACTATCTATGGAGCTTTTTTCAAAGAAAGAAAAAAACGTATGTACATGTCCAGTAATGTATTATTGCAAATGAATAGAACAAATTTAAAGATTGCAAAATACCTTGGCATGACCCTATGTTAAAAATCCTTCTTTTCAATTTTTCCAAATGACTAAAAAGGATTCAATAAAATACAGCCTGTCTAGGTGCGTCTATACTTATCTTCACGTGCTGAAATGAATGAAGTGATTACACGTGCGAAAGCAGCCGTCCTAGGAATTCATGTTCCTTCGCCTCCGCGAACTGTTTCGCAGCCGCCTTCAGTACCAGTTATCCAACAAGTTACGGGTTAGTAGCTCAAAGAACCATCTAGAACAAGCAGAAAAAATATTAGGATTCCTGATTTTTTAGAGCCGGCGATACCTGGTCTGGATTACACTGCACAGTCACAACATCCGACACAACCGTATGCTGCTCCAGTAGTGTCAGAACAGTCTCTGAAACCCTCGTCGTTCGCTCCAGATCCATCTGAATTTAACAAGCCATTGTATATGCGTGGGCCACCACAATCCCAACATGTACCACCGTCAGCAGCTGCTCCAACAGTACCACAACAACAGCCGGTGCTTCCTGCACAAAATGGAGAATACCATTCAGCTCACAAACCTGCTTACCCTACCATCGGAGACAGCTACCCTCCAACGGCTCATCATCCACCGCAGAACGCGCGACCTCACGCACCAGCTCCTGCAGATGTGACCCAAAATTATGAAAAGAGGTATCCTCCGAGGGCACCTGAGCAGAAAAGTTTTCCTCCACCACAAGGGTCATATAGACATGACGAAGGTTTCTTTAACAAACCCCCTCAGCAGCATAATCCTGAGCCAGCACCAAGATTTTTCGGTAGTCCACCCAGGAATCCGGCGGTACACCGCCCACCACCGCCAG